GCCGCTTCCAAAGTCCCCTTGCACACATGGAGCTGCCTGCTTCCAAAAACCCCCTGCATACATGGAGCTGCCTGCTTCTAAAACCCCCTTCCACACATGGAGGTGCCGGCTTCCAAAGCCCCTTGCACACATGGAGCTGCCTGCTCTAAAACCCCCTTGCACACATGGAGGTGCCGGCTTCCAAAGCCCCTTGCACACATGGAGCTGCCGGCTTCCAAAGCCCCTCTGCACACAGGGAGCGTCCTGCTTCCCCGCCCACCCCAAGGCCGGGGGTGGGCTCCAGCCGTCCTTCTTCATTGGCGGGGTTGAGTTAGGGAAGCTCCCCGCCTATAGGGGCTGGAGAAGGTGAGCAAGGGGTGGGGCGGGAAGTCAGCAGGCAGGCTCGGTGATTGGCTGAGTCTTTGATGGATGGGTATTGCGTCCAGTGTTGGAACGAAGCTTGAGTTTTTCCTCTGCGGGGCGGGGCGGCTTTTCCCCGGTAACGGAGAGGCGGCGGTGGTAAAGGTGATTCAGGGTTTCTGCATCTTCCCTCCCTCCCTCCTTCCTAGTCTGGGCACCGGGGCCTGTGACCGCTTCGTTAGCGGAGAGGCAGCTGCCAGTCCGCTTCAGCAGGCCTGTGCCCCCAGCCATTCTGGCTGCCTCCGTGCTGAGCTCGCGGCTCACGCGGGAGGGACGCGGAGTGACGAGCCGCCGAAGCAGCTTTGCGGTGAGAGCACGCGGGCCGGGGTCGGGCGGGAGCCTGGCGGCGGGAAACGCGCACTCTAGGGTGTGTATGGGGTGAGGGGTGGGGGGCTGACATCCTTGGCTCCCCGCAGAGCAGACGGCAGGAGGTGTGCGGCTGTGAGAGGCGGGTGGGAGGCGGGGCGGGGTGGCTCTCCGCGAGGGAGGAGGAGAGTGAATAATAAAAGCTTGTATTTATTGAGCACTTACCGTGTCACAGGTGCTGTGTTAAGCACAGATTTTTTTTTTTTTTTGAGACAGAGTCTCGCTCTGTCGCCCAGGTTGCAGTGCAGTGGCGCGATCTTAGCTCACTGCAACCTCCACCTCCCGGGTTCAAGCAATTCTCCTGCCTCAGCCTCTTGAATAGCAGGGACTAGAGATGCACGCCGCCGCCCTCGGCTTTCGTATTTTTGTAGAGATGGGGTTTCACCATGTTGGCCGGGCTGGTCTCAAACTCCTGGGCTCAGGTGATCCACCTGCCTCAGCCTCCCAAAATACTAGGACTATAGGAAGGAGCGACTGTTTTTTGTTTTTTTATTTTGATGGTGTCTCATTCTGTCACCAGGCTGCGGTGTAGTTGTGTGATCTCGGCCCACTGCAGCCTCTGCCTTCCAGGTTCAAGCGATTCTCCTGCCTCAGGCTCATGAGTAGCTGGGACTACGGGCACGCGCCACCACACCCAGTTAATTTTTGTATTTTTAGTAGAGACGGGGTTTCACCTTGCTGGCCAGGATGGTCTCCATCTCTTGACCTTGTGATCTACCCGCCTTAGCCTCCCAAAGTGCTGGGATCACAGGCATGAGCCAGTGTGCCCGGCTTCTTTCATCCATGTTGTAGCATGTGTTAGAATTTCCTTTTTTTTTTTTTCTTTCAGGACAGAGTCTTGATCTGTTGCCCAGGCTGAAGTGCAGTGGTGTGATCACAGCTCGCTGCAGTGTCGACCTGAGCTTAAGCAATCTTTCTACCTTAGCCTTTCAAGTAGCTGGGACTACAGGTGTGTGCCACCATGCACCTGGCAAATTTTTTTAACGTATTTGTAGAGATGAAGTCCTATGTTGCCCAGGCTGGTCTCAAACTTCTGGGCTCAAGAGATATTTACCACTTTGGCCTCCCAAAGTGGTAGGATTACAGATGTGAGCTACCATGCCCAGTCATTGGTGGCAATTTCTAACTGATATATTTCTTTTTTTTTTTTTTTTTTTTTTTGAGACAGAGTTTCGCTCTTGTTACCCAGGCTGGAGTGCAATGGCGCGATCTCGGCTCACCGCAACCTCCGTCTCCTGGGTTCAGGCAATTCTCCTGCCTCAGCCTCCTGAGTAGCTGGGATTACAGGCGCGCACCACCATGCCCAGCTAATTTTTTGTAGTTTTAGTAGAGACGGGGTTTCACCGTGTTGACCAGGATGGTCTCGATCTCTTGACCTCGTGATCCACCCGCCTCGGCCTCCCAAAGTGCTGGGATTACAGACGTGAGCCTCCGCGCCCGGCCTTAACTGATACATTTCTTATTTGCCCCTCCTTTTGCTTTTGCTTTCCCTACCCTCTCTCTGTCTTGTGTGCTTGCATGTTACCCCTATTTCCCAGCATGACAGTGGACCCTTCATGAGTCCTCTTGTGTCCTCCAGGGCTAGCTTGCTGACATGCAGGCTATTGGAGGATATGCAGGTCCACATCCCTTATTTGCAGTTCTGAAATGAAGAGGTTTTGTTTGTTTTTTGGTAAATCTATCTCTGCAACTAATTTTGGGGGGGGGCAACCCGACCCAGGCTGTCCCGCGTGACTGCTTGATTATGGGGAGCTGCCTCAGCCTTAGCTGGGAGAGAAAGATGATACACTATATGTACCATATTACCTTTCTAAAATCCAAGCAACACTGATGACTGTAACTGGAATCTGTCCCTCTACTGTAGACTAATATGTCTCATGGGCCACTCAAGGTCTCCACTCAGTGTCTCATCTTGGATAGCTGAGGCGTTGTTGACTCTTTACCGTCTTTTTCATATGCCATCCATCAGCAAATCTTACTTGCTCTATATCCAAAATACTACTCAGAATTAGACCGCTTAGGACCTGCATCTGTGCTGCGCTCATCAGTGCCTGTGCGTTTCTAGCTTGGTGTTATCAGTTCTGGGAGTCAAGCTTCTACTAAATGTGGGTGACTGGTCCTAAGTTGCATCCGTCATACTGGAGTGAGAATTGACTTGCATGCTATCACTTTTGGTATTTGCTTGAGTGCAGAATGAAGCGGTGTTTGGATGACCAGGAGTCACTGGTGTATGCAGCCCAGCAGCGTCAAATCCCTGGCAGCACAGAGGCTTTTCCTCACCGGCACCGGGTGCTTGCCCCCACCCCTCCTGTGTATGAAGCAGTGGCACAGACCATGCAGCCAGCCCCGGGAATTCAGCACTGTAACACCCAGCTACCAGGTAAGCCGGAGCCAACCTGAGAGTAACTCCCCGTATAGGCACCGAGGAAGGAGAGCTAAGCAGAATCCTGGCACAGTTAAGATCTGAAGAATATCTCAGTTTATAGTATTACTACTCAGTTATTTCCTTTTATATAATTCTTTATATAATCATACATTAGTTTATAGAATGAGCTCTTGAAGAATATCTCAGTTTATAGTGTTACTACTCAGTTATTTCCCTTTATATAATCCTCTATATATAATCATATATTAGTTCGTAGAATGAGTGCCTAAAGAATATCTTACCACTCAGTTATTTCCATATATATGGATGTATAGTTATAAGATATATGTATAACTATATATCATATATATGGGAATATAGTTTTATGTATATAACTTTATCTTATAAGTATATGATATAGTTATAAGATATAGTTTTATATGTATGTATACACACACACACACACACACACACACACAACTATATCTTCGTTCATAATCAGAGGAATGCCTAGAGTAGACACGGTACAGAGCATGAATTAAGGAATAAGCAGTTTATAGTCGGACAAATGTCTGGAGCAGACACAGCATGATTTAAGGGAAAACAGTTATACCAGGACAAGAATCCATGGCGCAGGCGGCAGCGTTCAGTATCGTAAAGATACCCGCTGTATGGCAGGCTTGGGGCGAGAGCCACTCCTTCTGATACAGGAGCTGTAGGACCCTGCTCCAGTTCTTGTGGAAGGCTGCCCTCAGACCGGCAATCCACCTTGGTGACTGTGAACTTTATCAGCTCTTATTACTGTGCTGCTCGAAAAGCATCTTCCCATAGAGCTCATTGGAAGCTGCCAGCAGGTGGTGGTAACCCTGACAGCTCTGTCACTGCTGTGGACTTAGCATTCTCCCATAAATCTTAGAAGTAGCTTGCCCATAGATAGAGGTATTGCACACTGCACCCTCTTCACTGAGCATGGCCCATCTCCATGCCTCAGTGACCTAATAGGGGTGGACCCCTTACTGCACACGACCCACTTCCTTACCTCAGTGACCTAATGGGAATGGACCCCTTGCTGTGCATTGTCCACCTCCTGGCCTAGGTGACCTAATGGGGATGGACCCTTTGTTTTAAGGCTCACGATCCTATCACTATTCTTAAAGGTGGCTTCACTCACTACCCTGCCCCCTAACCTAAACCCAATAAATACTGACGCTTTTGGACATTCAGGTCCTCACCTGACTCCACTTTTGGGTGGCGTGGCCCTGCTGAGCCCACCTGCATTTTCCTTGTACTTCTGTGTCCTGTCTCTTTATTTCTCAGATATTGCACATCAGCACAGCATAAGGGACACCCCACAACCCTGTGGAGCCCTCAGCCCTATAAAACCAAGGAACTAGAGTGAGGGAGGAGGAATAGTGATTTTGGGCAATTAGAAAACATTTTGTAATACTCAGGTATTTAAAAATTGTGGAGTATGTAAAAGGTAAAAAAAAAAAAAAATAACGTGTCCTCACCATACAGGTTTTTGAAAAAAGAATGTCATAGTGGCCTTTGAAGTTCCCTTTTTATCCCTCTCGGATCCCTTCTTTTCCCTCCCTTCAGAGGTAGCCACTCATCTAAACATTGTGTTTATCATTCCCTTGACTTTATTGACTTAAAAAAACAAACAAACAAAAAAACTTTTTTTCTTTTTTTTTTTTTTTTTTTTTTGAGACGGAGTTTCGCTGTGTTACCCAGGCTGGAGTGCAATGGCGCGATCTCGGCTCACCGCAGCCTCCACCTCCTGGGTTTAGGCAATTCTCCTGCCTCGGCCTCCTGAGTAGCTGGGATTACAGGCATGCGCCACCATGCCCAGCTAATTTTTGTATTTTTAGTAGAGACGGGGTTTCACCGTGTTGACCAAGATGGTCTCGATCTCTTGACCTCGTGATCCACCCGCCTCGGCCTCCCAAAGTGCTGGGATTACAGGCGTGAGCCACTGCGCCCGGCACCAAAAAAACTCTTAACATAATTGTCGGCCAGGCCTGGTCGCTCACGCCTGTAATCCAAGCAGTTTGGAGGCCAAGGTGGTTGGATCACCTGAGGTTGGGAGTTCAAGACCAGCCTGACCAACATGATGAAACCCTGTCTTAAAAAAAAAAAAAAAAGAAAGAAAAAGAAAAAAAAAGTAATTGTTTAGTTTTGGTATTTTTGAATTTTTATATAAATGGAAACATTTTCTTCTTTGGCTCACTTTTAAAAAAAACTCCATATTTATATGGATAGCTGTAACTGCACCATTTTCACTCTGGTATGAATTATATGCATATATTCGCTTTATTTGTCAATTCTACTGTTGGATTATTGGGCCATCTCCAGGTTTTTGCTTTTACAAAGGTGCTGTTGTGAATGTTCTGTTGTTGTCTTAGTTCACTCAGTGGTAATTCATGACAAAATAAGAACCTTGTGCCAGAATTTAAATCAACACACTTATTAAGACAGTTTTGCTGTTTATTTAAAAAAAAATAAGCAGTTGTATTAAACATCATTATAGAGAAATACAGCTAACTTTTGGACAGTGTGAGGGTTGATACACTGACCCTCCCTCCATGCAGTCAAAACCACATGTATAACTTTACTTTTTTAAGGAGATAGGGTCTTGCTTTATGGCCCCTGCTGGGGTTCAGTAGTGCGATCATGGCTCACTGCAGCCACAAATGCACAAAATACATACTAATCAACGATATGTGTTATCGGTAAAGCTTCTGGACAACGATAGGCTATTTACATTTAAGTTTTGAGGGACTGAAAAGTTATACATGGGCTGCATGCAGTGGGTCAGACTTGTCCCAGCTCTTTGGGAAGCTGAGGTGGGAGGATAAGTTGGGGCCAAGAATTTAGGACCAGCCTGGGCAATATAGCAAGAACTCATCTCTACAAAAATCATAAAGATTAGCCAAGCATGGTGGTGCCCACCTGTAGTCCTAGGTACTAGGGAGGCTGGGGTATGGGAGGACTGCATGAGCCCAAGAGTTTGAGGCTGCAGTCAGGCTCCCTGCTTTGTTACTGTGGCTCTTCAATGTTCTCAACACAGGAATCCAAGTGATTCTTTTGAAACCTAAGTCATACCATTGTCATTTCTCTGCTTAAAACCATCTTGTGGCTTTCCATTTTAGTCTGAGTACTAAACTGGAGTCCTTGTTAAGGTACATCTGTAATTGTGGCACTTTGAGAGCTGAAGTGAGGGGATCATTTGAGGCCAGGAGTTTGAGACCAGCTTGGGCATTATCACAAGACCTTGTCTCTATTAAAAAAAAAAATTAAAAATCAAGGCTGGGCATGGTGGCTTATGCATGTAATCCTAGCACTTTGGGAGGCCAAGAAGGGTGAATCACAGGTCAGGAGTTTAAGACCAGCCTGGCCAATATGGTGAAATCCTGTGTCTCCTAGAAATAAACAAAGATTAGCAGGGCGTCGTGGTGCACACTTGTGTTCAGCTACTTGGGAGATTGAGGTGGGAGGATCATTTGAGCCTGGGAGGTAGAGGTTGCAGTGAATATGCCACTGCGTACCAGCATGGGTGACAGAGTGCAAACTTGTCCAAAAAGAAATAATTAATTAATTTGAAAAAATGAATTAAAAATAAGCCGGGCATAGTGGTGTGTGTCTGTAGTCCTAGCTACCCGGGAGACAGAGATAAGAGGATTGCTCAAGCCCAGGAAGTCAAGGCTGCAGTGAGCTATGATCAAGCCACTGTACTTCAGACTGGACAACAGTGCGAGACCCCCGCTCCTTAAAAAAAAACAAAAACCCATGTTATTCAAAGGCCAGCCATTGTGTTTAGAAGGTATACCAATTTGGCCAGGCGCGGTGGCTCATGCCTGTAATCCCAGCACTTTGGGAGGCCGAGGCGGGTGGATCACAAGGTCAAGAGATCGAGACCATCCTGGTCAACATGGTGAAACCCCGTCTCTACTAAAAATACAAAAAATCAGCTGGGCATGGTGGCACATGCCTGTAATCCTCAGGAGGCTGAGGCAGGAGAGTTGCCTGAACCCAGGAGGCGGAAGTTGCGGCAAGCTGAGATCGCGCCATTGCACTCCAGCCTGGGCAACAAGAGCGAAACTGCATCTCAAAAAAAAAAAAAAAAAAAGAAGGTATACCAATTTATATTCCCTCAAGCATTGTATATTCCTGTTCTATGTCCTGACCAACACTGATCATCTGTTATATTTTGTAGAAGTGAAGGAATTTGGTTTTTGCCCTTTTTTATGATGAAAGTCGTACATCAGTTTGGTTTTTTTCTATTTTTGTTTTTTTGAGACAAACTTTCACTCTTACGGCCCAGACTGGAATGCAGTGGTGCAATCTCAGCTCACTGTAATGTCCGCCTCCTGGCTTAAAGCGATTCTCCTGCCTCAGCTTCCCAAATAGCTAGAATTAAAGGTGCCCGCTGCTACACCCAGCTAATTTTTTGTATTTTTAGTAGAGACGGGGTTTCGCCGTGTTGGCCAGACTGGTCTCGGTCTCCTGACCTCAGGTGATCCACCTGTCTCGGCCTCCCAAAGTACTGGGATTACGGCGTGAGCCACCGCACCTGGCCTGTTTTTATTTGAGACAGAGTCTTGGTCTGTTGCCCAGGTTGGACTGCAATAACACGATCTTGGCTCACTACAGCCTCCACCTGCTGGGTTGAAGCGGTTCACCTGCCTCAGCCTCTCAAGTAGCTGGGATTACAGGCATGTACCACCACACCCAGCTAATTTTTGTATTTTTAGTAGAGATAGGGTTTCACTATGCTGGCCAGGCTGGTCTCGAACTCCTGACCTCAGGTAATCCGCCTGCCTCGGCCTTCCAAAGTGCTGAGAAAACAGGCGTGAGCCACTGCACCTGGCCTTATTTTCTTTTCTTTTTCTGAGATGGAGTCTCACTCTGTTGCCCAGGCTGGAATGCGGCGGCATGATCTCAGCTCACTGCAACCTCTGCTTCCTGGGTTCAAGTGATTCTCATGCCTCAGCCTCTCGAGTAGCTGGGATTGC